CAGCTTGCCTGCTGGAGGCTCAGATTCCTCCCGGACTCTTTTTTCTTTGGGCGTCCAGACATTTTTTTGTGTGCAGGGTGTGTATTTTCTCTCCTTGAACTGTAGGCCAAGCCATTTCCCCATTGATTGGTTCCAAAGTGTAGGAATAGGTTTGTTTGAAAGCAGAAATTGAGTAACAGTCATCAATATAAGCTCCTGGATCTTTCCCCTGATCAAACATTGCACATATAGCATGCTGGCATGGAATTCCAGTCAACTCCCAAGATCTGCAAGAGCAGGTACCTCCCTCCAGCTTCACCTTGTATTGATACTTCCCTTTCTTTATCTCAAATCCATCATCTCCATTGAATACCACCCTCCACTTTGAACTTCGCATTATGTTAGCATTCAGAATCTTCTTAATGTTAGGGCAGTTTCTTCCTTTTCATTTTGCAGCTAGGTCCATCTTCTTAGCAATTCTCTGCATCATTTGAATCCTTATGTCTTCTAGCATGGGAATGATGGGTTTGCTCCTACACCCAACCAATGTACGATTAAAAGCCTCTGACATGTTGTTGTCAACTGCATCACATTTCACAGAAATCCTAATGAAGGCTTTGCACCAATTTTTGAAAGGATATTTTTCCAAATCTTGTTTTGCAGCAGGGTCCTCATTCTCAGATTGTGAACCCATCTCAGACAGCTCCACATTGTCCTCAGCAGCAGAATCAGTTTGGGTCCCCAAATCTTCATCATCATCATGTATGTCTTCCATTGCAGGTGTCTGGATGTTCACATCATACATCTCAACATTTTCCTCAGCAGCAGATTCATTTTGGGAAAGGTTTCTTCTTTGTACTTCACAGTTTTGAACCCCTCCTCCACTACATGATGTGGAGGGTTGCAGCAAATACACTTCACACACTCCATCAGTAGCACACAGACTCACCAACTCCAATGTGGAAGCATCATCTACTAAGTCCCTTAAAGATTCCAAAGGTTCACGAGGCAATTTATACATCAACTTCCCAAAGCCCCCAAATGGTCCAGATTCTATGAACTTTTTTAGATGTGGATAACTTACTACATCAAGGTCACTCTTAATCATCTATATGCGGCCATTACTATATTCCATAGGAGAGGAGGTTTTAAGGGTGCCACCATAGTTCAAAATTAAGGTGTTGTTCTGTTCGTCTTATTCTTATTACTTATTGCTTATTCTTATTTTATTCAGATCAGATCAGATCGGATCAGAAAAATTCAGATAAGATCAGATCAGAAAAATTCAGATCAGATCAGAATGATTCAGATCAGATCAGAAAGATTCAAATCAGATCAGAAACATTCAGATCAGATCAGAAAGATTCAGATCAGATCAGACCAGATCAGAAACATTCAGAACAGATCAGAAACATTCAGATCAGATCAGAAACATTCAGATCAGATCAGAAACATTCACATCAGAAAACTTCAAACTTGATTCATCACTTTTATTATTTTAATAATTTCAATAATAATAATAATAATAATACTTATTATTATTATTATTATTACTATTATTACTATTATTATTATTATTATTATTATTTATCATACTTAGTATGTATAATTACAATTAAAATTATAGTTATAATTATAATTACAATTATAACAATTACAATTATAATTATAATTGTAAGTATAATTATAATTATAATTGTAATTGTAATTGCAATTAAAATTATAGTTATAATTATAATTACAATTACAACAATTACAACTATAATTATAATTATAATTACAATTAGTTTAAACATTCTTAAATAGGACTTTTTATGTATGATTAGACCAAAATACCCCCATTGCTGCCCCTGGACCTCCGGCCAGCCGCCTGCCGCCAGAACTCCGGCCACTGCTGCTTGCCGCCAGACCTCCGGCCACCGCCGCCGGCCGCCGGAGCACCGTCGGAAAATTCCAAAAAATATCTGGCAGACTGCCAGATTCCTCCGCCACCGCCGCCCGCCGCCGCTGCCGGAGCACCGCCGTAAAATTCAAAAAAAAATTCTGGCAGACTGCCAGATTCTGCCGCCGTCGCCTCCGCTGCCGCAATGGTGTTTATCAGAATTTATTGTTTATTTATTGTCTACTTATTGTCTATTTATTGTCTATTTAATGTCTGTTATTTTTTTTGCCGCCGCCGGAAACCGCCGCCACTGCCGCCGCCGCCGCTGCCGGAAACCGCCTCTTCCGCTGCCGCCGAGCTGCCGCCACCTCCGGACTGCCCCGCTACCAACGGACTGCTTTGGTTGTGCAAGAGAACTAGGGGCAATTAATTGGGTTAATGAATTGCCGGAGTTGCCGCCGCCGCCGCCGGAATGCGCCGCCGGCCGCTGCCGGAGTGCTGCCGCCGCCACGGACTGCCCCGCCACTGACGGACTGCCTTGGTTGTGCAAGGAAACTAGGGGGGCAATTATTTAGATCAATTAATTAATTAAATAAAATTAGGAGTAAAAAGGGTAAGGTTAGTCCTATTTAGAGAAAAACATGCATGTGGTCCTATTTTGAGAAAAAGGTTGAGTTTTAGTCCTATATTGGACAATTTTCTCTATATGAAACCAATAATTACAAAAACTTTGTGAAGTATAAAATTATTGGTGAAACTCATTTGCAGTATCTCATATCAATTGTTTTGTCATTTGTGTGGCTTCTTGGAGTAGAGATTATATAATACTCCCTCCGTCCTCGAAAAGGCTCGCCAACTTTGACTTTTACGTGGATTAATAAAGTAAAAACTGTGTGTTTGAAATTTATGCAGAGGAGAGAGAATTAATTTTAGCCACATATTTCTTACTTTAAATGGAAATGACAAATCTTTTTGGGACATCCCAAAAAGAAAATTTGGCAAACCTTTTCGGAACGGAGGAAGTACAAATTAGGAGTCTGGAAGTCTTTACCCTTCATCATGGGCATAGTTATGGTGTCAACCTGAACCCCAACTCGGGCCTTATTTAAAAAATATCGTTAACATTAGTGTAAAATATTTTGTGTTAAAAAAATTCCAAAAATATCTTTGTACCGCCCCATTCCAGTTTGAGTGCATACCTATGTTGTTGCCCTTCACCAAATAATGAATATATAATTTAATGAGTGTTGGATCGCGGGGATGTGGTGCTAGCGGTTCTGCCAGTGCGTCGGCGCAATAAAAAATCGATCTACTCACATACATTTTAAATGGGTGGTGGAGCTTGAAAAAAGTGTTTACCTTTCTACGTTACAAAACACTAATTTAATCATAGTGAATGTTAGCCGATTAGAAAACCCTGACTTTATTGTATTGAAGTATGGAACATTGAAAAGTATGGAATAGAGAAGAAAACGTTCGATTAGAAAACCCTAACTTTATTTAATTTAAACCAAAGTCAGATTTTAATAAAGGATTGACATTGTGGCCACGTGTGTATGTATACAAGCTAACCGGTGGTTGACTTCTAAAAAAGCAGATTTTATTTTATTTTTGAAGTTGGGGTACTCAATTGGATGATAATAGAGTTGGGGGGTCTAATTGACTTTTTCATAATAGTAGGGGATCTCATTTGATAGTTTTCCCTTTTAAGATTATAATAAAATTAGTACATAAAAATATAAAATTAGTAAATTTATATTTTAGTGATTACAATAGTAATATGATTTAAGTATGTTTTTAGTCTTTGTAAATATAGTATAAGTATTTCTAGTTTCATATCCATAATTTATGCTACTGTTCTATTTAGGCTATGTTTGGCACAACGAGCTGGAGCTGGATACTAATGTCTGAATTGAGGGCTATTGACTGAATTAAAAACTATTGTCTGGAACTGAATTATGAGGTGCTGAATCTGAATTGCTAGCTGAGTGAAGTATACCCGTTTGACAAAAAGACCTGAAATGTGACTGGAAAATGTAAAATTACATTTATGGGCATAAAAGATACTCCTATTATTCAAAAATACAGAAATTTATTACAATGATTTTTATATTTTAATATTTATTAAAATATATTTAATAAATCTTCTTAACAAACCCTCCACATAAATCCTCTCATTTTCATCTCCGTTGCAACTACAGTAGCATCAATGCTAGTGTAGCACGCTGTGTAAAGGTCATCGCAATGACCTGTGATGTATGCACCGAACTGAGCTGGAGCTGCAACAGGGTATGGTAACTATTGGCCCGGCCTCTTAATCTGCCTAGAACTCCATTCAACTCGAACCCAGAGTCACCGTATTATGAAATTGGAAGCACGAGATTTCTCGAAATTGATATCATAAAATTACATACCTTATAATTATATAATTATAGCCAGCGATCGGAGAAGAAGGTGAAAAGATAATTTTGCCATTTTGGGTAGTACGGATGAACCAACGCAGGGATAGTTTAGACATACAGGGCTGTTGAGCGACCGACTGAACACAAACGTTGGGCTGGGTAACGTTTGAATCCAGCCCACTATTTTTAGCTTCAGCCTCATTCAGTCCTTTCTCCAAACAGTATTACTTCTACATTTATCAGCTGAATTAATAAAATTCCAGTCAATTATTAGCTTCAAGCTCGTGCCGAACACAGCCTTAATCTCATCACTGATAGATAAGACCAACCTCTGTTTGATAACAAAACAATCCTAACCCCTCTAATAATTATTTGTCATGTCATTAAAAAAGTACTTTTAGTTTCTAGAAGATCATTTATACTTGTTTTAAAAACCATTAATGTGTACTACCCCATGGGCCCAAAAAATATGAGTGGGAGTGAGGTGCAAAGTCCAACATTGCCCAAAAACATAGGGCGCATAGTCAAATTCTGCTCCCATATTAACCTCCAAAAAACTATAAAAAGATGAATTTAAAGTTTTCCAAGACTTATGCAAATGACATTAATTTATTTTCTAAAATGAGATACATCTCCCTTTTATATTTATGATATACATTTGATAAAAAAAAAAGATGCATCTAGCCATCTCTAGGAGTTAGAAGAAACTAATACGGAGTACATCAATACTAGTTAAATTTGTGAATTCAATGTAGTCTGAGTATTGTATTACTTGATTCTAAGCCTTTTTCCACTTCCAATTGTTCTCTTAACTGTATGCAATGCTTCCCTGCCTTAGCAGGAAAGGGACTGTGAACTGTATCTATGTGCCAAATGCTATAGCATACACAATCAACAATATGATCAATCAATACTTTCATCCTATAATTTCTACTCAAATGAAAACTGTGCAGGATATACATTCTCCCAGGCTCGCAGCTAGAGAACTAACTATGCATGTTATGTACGACCAAAAGAAGCAAGCCTAAGGAAAAATAGCTTTAGCTTTTCAATCAATCCAACAGGTGACAATAGGCTTCCTCAAATGCTCTGACCAGGAAATGTCATGAGAGGTGAATAGCGCAGTAAAACATCCTGTGGTTCAAGTTGGTCAATGTTGTCCATCATGGGTGTTAATTTCAACCCAACAATCTGCACCGTCGAGTTTGGGTGACTGTTCACGTATGAAGCTGTGATCTGCTAGAGAGACAACTATGTGGTCAATTTTAGTTTTTTAGGGTTATAGGTGCATCAGTTTGTTAAAAAACGTCTTCTGGTAAAGCTGACCTGTGTGCAGCCGAATAGTTTGACCAGCTTCAGGGGGCAGCTGTCTAAAATCAGCCCTAGTGCCTCCTCACTTATTCTACGACACCAAGATAAGTCCAAAAATACCAACTCTCTTGCACATTTGGCAAGTGACAATGCAGTGTTGAGGTTTACCTACAAAATCTCAAAAAAACCTCTGCTATGAAATTGGGAGTAATTAATTCAATAAACAGACAACATCAATTTACAAAACAAAACTGCACTATTTGGGAATCCAGAGGTTTGTTTACCTTGGAGCAATAATTAAGGGAAAGTTCCTTCAGACACTGTCCAGAAGCTTCAATGTACGCAGCAAGAGCCTCATCACTTAGCATGTAATGAAAAGGCTAAGATTAAAAGACGAAAATCAACATTTGCAACATAAAATGAAAGTCTTGCATTTAAATATCAAACAGTAAACATAAGAGACTAATGTAACATTCAGTAAGGCATGAGCTGATCATAAACAGATACGCCAGAAAATGCTAATAGAACATTCAGCAAAAGTTAAACTGGGCTCCATTTATAACTAGGATAAACTCAATTCTAATGTACTACACAGATTTGATAACAATCGGACTTCTAAAGCTTAGAATGAAATAAATCCAGACTCCGTAGCATATTGAAAGACAACAACATCATAAGAATCAATGACTTATAGAAACAGGTTAACGGCTGCTAATGCACAAGTTCTGAAGATGAATCCACAGGCTGTATAAGAACTGACCTAAAATCATTGCGTTGAAGATTGAGCCTTTGAATTGATCTACAACCATTAGTGAGAAACTGTATTCCTCTATCTGTCAATATCTGTAGGTTTGAAATATTTAATGAGCGCAAATTTGCACATGCATCTCCTATGGCCTTCATAGAAGAGTCGGTCAAGTTGCTGCAGCAGCAAAAGTGAAATAGCTTGGTCATGATATAAAGAAAGAAGAAATTGGTGTTGAAGAAGTTGTTTAGGGCATGCCTGGTTCTAGGATTTGGGAGGGGTAATACTATTTTTAAAAATTATTTTTACATTTAGATTATTCAAATGAAAATAAAGAAAAAAATATATAGAGAATGTGAACAAAATAATCATATCGTCATTTCTAGTAAACAAACTAACAATGGAGATATATTCAAAATTTCAGATAATAAGAATCAAACCTCGCCTCCCATTCCCTAAAAATTGCGAAACTAAACAAGCTCTTAACCAGACCAGATTATGAACTTACTCGCAGTCACAGAGATCAAGCTCCTTCAGATTTTGACCAAATCCCTCCATAATTTCAAAAACAAACTTGTCGCATACGGTCTGAATTCTAGCAACTGACAACACTTCCAAACATTTCAATTTTTTAAAGGCAGGGATAGCACTCATAACGTTTATCATTAGACATTCATTGATGTAAAGCTCCTTAAGAAGTCCACCCAGTGAATTCGATATAATTTCAATACACCTGTGTGTAAGAAGAGAGCACTGTCCCAAATTAATTGACTGCAGAAATGGCGCTGAAGCTACAATTGATGTTAATGCACTATCCATTATACGGCATGCACCCTTTATAGATAGAACTCTCAAATTCGGAAAACCAATAGAAGATCTAGCAAAGGTTCTAGCCAACACGTGATCAGTCATGCCCTGCCCACAAAGGTCAAGCTGAAGAACCTGTTTCGGGACATTGTTCAGGAGGTTAAGGACTTAGGGCCTCCTTTAAGCACTAGGCAAGAGGATAAACATTTTTAAAAGCCATCTCTCTTTCATATTTGATTTGTTTTGGGGTTTATGATGTCTGACAATTAATTCTCCCTAATATGAAAAAGGTATGAGACATAAATTTAGAGATCAAAAGGATGATAAACTGACCACAAGGATAGTAACTGTCAAGATATAATTTGGCACAAAGGGAGTATCCATAATCATTAAGACTGGTCATAACATGGCAAGAACATTTTGAAAATTCTTTAGAATTCATAATGCCATTCTTTGCTCCCCCAGGTCGAATACCTAATAAGCTTTAAAAATAGGTAAATGGGAAAGGGAAAAAAAGAGAATTAAAAGGAATTTAAATAAAAGTTTGACAAAAAAATTTAGAGATGAAAAGAAAGTTAAATTGACAGCATGAAGTTTATTTGAGATATAAAGAGGATCAATGATATCTAACTGAGGTCATAAAATTACAAGAACATTTTAAAAACATTGAAATTGGATGCAATCTTTTCTCTCTCTCACTTTCAAATCAAATTTTGAGTAACATTAAAACAAGGTTAAAATGAAAATAAATAACGAGTTACCATCAACATTTTCCCATCAAAGTCGAGGAATGATTTAGAAAGTTCAATCTCTGTCAACCATGAACAGTCTTTTATCCTGATCTCAGTCGGGGATCCCTTTAAAAGAAGGTTCAGCATATGCTTATTCATTCTCCTCGAATCACATAACAAGTCAGTGAGTCTTTTCCTCAGATTACAAGGGATTCCCTCAAGCGAAACCAAAGCTCCCGCATTTTGTGCAAGAGTTTTCAAAGAAAGACTTAGTAGTGTAGGAACACGAGGGGTAGAATGATTAAGGTTAAGGACAGGATTATGAGATAAATTCGCTTTCTTCTTTAGGTCTCGCTCCTTGACCATCTTCAGTGCTGTAGAAAAGGGATCAAGAGAGCTTCCTAACTCTTCAGACATTTCTATGGGTGGTGACTTTTGTTTCAACCCAGAAGAGGATAGATCGTTATCCACTTCCTGATGATTGGACCGCGCAATTTCGCGTGCCATGCGACGTGTAACTGTATGAGCTCTAGCTTTATATGCATATTGCCTTACCACACCTACTGTCCTTGCAGCTTTGTTAGCTTCCTCATGTTCCGTTTTCATCCCTTCTAAGGCTAAAACTGCTAAATTGGTGTCTTCGTCCGATTCCAAATCAGATCCAGAGCTTTCCTCCGGTTCTGGATTATAGAATTGTCTGTACCATAAAGTTCTTCTTGGTCTTCCAATCCTGGGTCCATCAGGTATGGCATCCAGTTGAGTCTGCTTACTGGCAGCTAGTGATTGCGAAGAATCGTCAACTTTAGCTTTCCCTTTTTCTTCTACAGTGTATCTTCGTGCACCACCCCATGTATTGCCACCTCCAAGCCTACTGTTCATCTCCATTTCTCCAAATCCAGGAGCAAAATTTCTATATGTATGTGTGTTCTTAACTTCTTGCTCCCATTCCATCTCCATTCCATCATCACTGGATATTTCATGTACAGTATTCATTTGTTCAACTTGTTTTCCCTTCCCTTTAACTTCAGCCACGACTATTACGTCATCTTCATCATCTTCATCTGATGATACTCGCATTCTCCACCCTCTCTTCCTAGTATAATTTTCACAATCCAGATTAACTGCACCATTCTTAGCAGGGTCAGTTTCTTCAAACCCTGTAACAGGGTTATTGGCACATAAACTTCCAGAACCCCCCAAATCCGATTCCAATTCTTCTGAAGTAATGCCTTCTTTTGGAGCCCCAGAAAGCACATCAACTTCCTTAATTTCCTCGTTTCCAATCACTTCCTGGCTTGGCCTTTCCGTCCCTCTCTCCATTGTACAACCTCCTAGTCAAAACCTTGATTAGCACCCTATCAATTCACTCGATTATTTGAGACAAAGGAACATGGCTCAGTTAATCGGTTTGAAATTAAAGCACAATGAAAATTTTCAGAATCCTATTTGAGTTGGTCCAACTTTTCCACAAATCACATTTCTATACCAGAGCAAAACCCTTGAACTTTTTTCTCTCGTTATAATCTAAAAACGAATGAAAGACTCAGAGTCCGCTTAGTTATCCATCAAATTTTATATAAACCCTAAACATCCCATACATGCAACTAGAGATACACACCCACGTGTGATTACAAGTTAAAGAAATGACGAAAAACTGAGAGAAGTCAGGGTTTTCTCTCGTAAATGGTACCTTGTAACCTTGATTACGTTCAAGATTGGACAATTGATTCGGAACTCCAAATAGACCAATGTTTCGCACAGAGTGAATGAAGAAAGGCGTAAGAATTTGAAAATCCGAATTCATGGTGATCGCGTTGGGTTTATATACTTTCACTGGACGGCATCATCCATACAGTAATAATGATGATGATAACAATAAAATAAAACAATCATTATAATATTAACAGATAATAATAATATTATTAACAATAATACAGAGGACACGTAAACCTCCCAGATCAGCATAGTATTTATGATGTGGCTCCTAGATGTATTGATAGCCTTTTGGCTACTGATTGTTTGGATTAATAAGAATGTCTGGAGTTGATGACCAAAAAATAATAATAATACATTAAAACAATCATAATACTCCGTAATATTAACATATTATTATTATTATTATTATTAATACATTGATACGGAGTGAGTTTTTTCCCGGAATAATGCTAATTAAATAAATAATTCCCAAAATACTGCTGGAAGTAACCACGGTTAAGGAAACCCATCACTCCAAGTGACGGCTCTTGTATTACTTCACAAAAGCCGCCACTCCGAGTGGCGACTCTTCTCTTATAGTACAAAAGCCGTCACTTCAAGTGGCGGCTCTTCTCTTACGTCCCATTTTGTACATATATAAAACGTAGTATGTTTCAAGAATTTGTTTAACTGCCTCCCCGATTGAATTTTGAGCTGAAATTTGGTATGCATAAACTAGACTTGATGAGGAACATGCTCAAAAAATTTAATCAAAAAATTTCACCGGAAACACCCTCTGATGGTGTTGTCCGCGAGGGTTCGGGTCAAGACGTCATGACAAAAGAGTGATCCGGCCACCTCAATTTGAGGTAGTTCCCGGTGGTATGTTTTGATGATTTTTTTTGTGTATGTTCTTAATAAAGTCTAGTTCAATCATACCAAAGTATATCATCTTTTCCATGAGGTAAGTATAATACTCCGTCGATACTAGTTTGGTCATAAGAAACGTTGAAAACGAGTCGGTGCTGGCAAGAGGCGGCCTGAAATTTCCAGATTGTTCAAATTGGACTTTGGATATATTTGGGGAAACTAGCTGGAACTAGACGCTAATGTCTATGAATCAAGGACTACTGTCTGAATTAAATGCTATTGTCTGAAGGTGAAATTTTAATTGCTGGATCTGAAACGTAAACTGAATGAAGTAGATCTGTTTGGATACAAGAGCTAAATGAGTTCCGAAAAAGCATTAAATTACATTAAAGGGTAAAATTTCTATTAAAAGATAAATGTTTTCTAATAATGCTACAGATATGAAGTACTGTATATGATTATATATATAATTTATTTTTTATTCAAAGAAATTTGATTTCTGGAAATTGTTAGCCATTGTATGTTGAGTGTTCGCTTTTTTAGAAACCAAAAGCAGTAGTACATACGAAGAAAATTAAAAAATAATACGTACTTAATAAGACCAAATTAATTAATAAAAAAGCATAATACTCTGCAATTAATTAGCTAGCTAGTACCCCTTTCTTCTACCACACACCGTATCATTTTTCCGTCGCTTCCCATATCGATGGTTATAAACACATCACAAAGAGGAAAACAGGAATAAACAGGCGAGGCTAAAATTGGAATAAACAGATTGGCTGAAGTCAAACGCTTCTCCTCTAAACGTTTCATTTGAGTTAATTTTTTTCAGTTCAAGTCTACATAAGCCTTACATCCGAACAGTTCCAATTTTAAAATTATTGACTGAATGTATATCATTTCAGCCTATTATTAGCTGAAATGGTCTAACAAAACTAGCCTTTACGGATTTTCCGTAAGGGGTAATTTGAGTTTGAATCTCATTTTATTGTTCAAATTAGACTTCATATATCGTTCTTAAAAAACAAAAAATTCCCCTTGGTAAAGAATATATTGAAGGCCAATAAAATTGTTAATGGAGGGCATTTTTTGTCTTTTCATACGGGGTTGTGACGCAAAAACAAAAAATAAAATAAAAACGGAGTGCAAAATTTAATTTAGACAATAATATTGGATACAAATCAACATTCTAAAATGCTATTTTATGTGTTATCTACATCCCCATTCTAAAGTACTCTAATTCATAATTCATAATAGATCCAACATTTTTCAGTCTTTTCAAATTATCCATAAATTAGTTTATTATTTATTTCACAAATCGTAAATTTATTATATAAATTTTATCAATTCAAGATCCGAAAGATAGATGAATTGTCAATTTGGAATCTGAAAGATGAAATGTATCGGTATAGAACACGAATGATGAAAAACTATTCATCTAGGATCCGAATGATTAAAAACTATCAATATATGACCTAAGTTGTCATGATTTTTTATTTTTTATTTTAAAATTAAGTATTATTTAGTTTTATTACACAAATGTACTTTTTGTGAACAAAAATCATCAAATATTAGCAATGGAATTAATAAAAAATTAAATAACTCAAAACTTATGTAATGTTAGGTACTAGATCGGCAGATTTGCATCATTTGTATTCTATACGAATAGATTTCATGTTTCAGATTGATAATGTGTTTATTTTTCAAATTCCATATTCTGCCCTTCTTCTTGCATATCCTCATCTTCTTCATTCATCACTTGTACTTTTTTCGTTAAACAAAAAGGCATAGCAGAGGAGAAAAACTTTCTTCTCCAATTACTACTGGCATCAATGGCTTCTCTGATCTGTTTTTGCTCTCAGATTCTTCTTCTTCACATTAAGCCAAATCAAGCCTTTAAAACCAACAAATTTGCACTGTGATTCATTGATTCCATCGTTGTTTTTATTTCACAGACGCACACGATGTCGTCCCCTGAACTCCAACTTGGGAATATAAAGACAAAAGTCCTAAATGAATATGTATGTACTTTTCTTTAGCTAATGCATATAAATCACCGTAAAAAACCTGAAATGAAAACCCTCTATAATTGTGTTCTTATACAGCTAACAAGCAAACACCCCATTGTCTTTTTTTTAAAGAAGTAAAGTTTCATTAAAACATCATATCACGAATACAATTTGGAGGAGTGTCGTTCCAACTCCCAGGAATCGTTTGTGAAATCATAGCCTGAGATAGCGCATGTGCAACGGTGTTTGCAGATCGCTTAACATGATTAAGATAAGAGTTATGTAAGAGTAAGTAAACTTTTGCATGAAGAAACTAAAGAACCAATATAAGACAATGCATTTTCACGATCAACAGCTTTCTTGAGAACTTGACAATCTGTTTATCAACCAAGACAACGCCTCCTTACATGCCATTGTTTCAGCTAGCAAAGGGTCTTGATGGCAATTAAGGTAGCCATTCCGGGCTGCAATGAACTTGCCTTGCTCATCTCTCAGAATAATTCCACAGCTCACCTGTCTTGTATGGGGAAAGATTGTTGCATCAAAGTTGCATTTAATCATATCTTGAGGTGGAGGGCACCATGTTGATGAAGAAAGTATAGAGACCTGGTGAGGAGATCTTCTTTGCTGCCAGGAGCTAAATAAAGTCATTGCCAGATGCATGGTATGAGAAGCATTCCAGATCTCTTTCCTCCAGATGTGATTGTTTCTGCTGCACCATATTGCCCAAAGAAGGAAGCAAGCTTCCAGGAACTGGTTGTCAAGAGTACAACAGCGTTGCATCCAACAACCAAAGTCTTCATCCTCCTCTGGTTTGCTATTATATCTCATTTGATGCCATAAAACATTAGTTTTATTACAATGTAGTAAAATATGACTTATAGTTTCTGGCTTCAATTTACACAGCGGGCATAAGATATCATCAACCTCTAAACCTCGTGCTTCCAAGGCTGTTCGAACGGGTAACACATTTCGAAGACCTCTCCAAATAAAATTTTTAACATTAGGGGGAAGTTTTAGTTTCCACAATTGTTTCCACCGATTGAAATGACCCTCAGGTATTGCTATTAATCCACAAAGGTACCGGTAACCGCCCTTGACAGAATACTCTCCTCTTATATCATTCCTCCAATACCAGCGATCATCGTACATGGGGATAATCGGAGTTTTGAGGATAAGATCAGAATCACGGAAGGAAAAAATGCCGGAGACTAGCTACTCATTCCAGCCATTGTTAGTCATTAATTCTGAGACAGTGGCTTGTTCCATTCCAGGAGGAGAGATTGATTCAACCCAGGGATTATCTTCTGAAAATAGCCCCGGAGATGACCAAATATTCGTTCCTTTTCCATTCCCTATTCTCCTACCAACACCATTTGCCAACAGTTCCTGAGTAGCAAAAACGTTTCGCCATGCAAAACTTGGAAATGGTCCAAGCTTTGCCTCCATAAAAGACTCCTTTGGGAAGTACCTAGCCTGAAATAATCGAGATACAAGTCCATCCGGATGTGTCAAAAGACGCCATCCTTGTTTAGCCAGCAATGAGAGATTATAACGTCTCAATTTCTTGAATCCCAAACAACCGAAAGCTTTTGGAGTGCTCATTCTTTCCCAGCTCATCCACCGCATTCCCCCATTCCTGCCATTGCCCCCAGCCCACCAGAACTTATTCATGATCTTTTCCATCTTCTCACATAAATCAATCGGTAGCAAACAAACACTCATGGTATAAGTTGGGAGAGCTTGTGCCACTGTTTTGAGCAGAATTTCTTTCCCGGCGCATGATAGGAATTTCCCTCGCCAACCATTAATTCTCTGCAGCAACTTGCGCTCAACATAAACATAAAGTTCAGTCTTGTTCTTCCCCATTAAAGGTGGCAATCCAAGATATTTACCATAATCCTCTTGAAGGTTAACACTAAGGAAGTTACTCAAGGTTGTATGTATTGCAGTATCAGTATTACGACTGAAACATATCCCAGACTTATGATAATTCACCAACTGACCGGAAGCTCTTTCGTAGTCTGTAAGACATCTCTTAATCTCGATAGCTTCCTGCATAGTTGCCTTGAAAAAGAGAAGGCTATCGTCTCCAAAAAATAAATGAGAGATTCGGGGTGCTCCCCGAGCTACAATACAACCATGAATACGGCCAGTCTCTTCAGCCATTCGTAAAAGATATGAAAGTCCTTCAGCACATATGATAAATAAGTACGGTGAAAGTGGATCTCCCTGACGTAATCCTCTGTAAGGTAATAATGTTTCGGTCCATCCACCTT